GCTGGCTGAGGAATTCTGGGAGTTGAAGTCCACAAGTCTTAAAGTGGCCAAGGTTGGACACCCCTGCTCTAAATGGATCTTTCATCATACTGTTGAATGTGTGCTTGGAAACCAAGTTAAAAAAAAATCTGCTATATTAATAAATTTAAATCTATATTAATAGATTTAAAAGGTAAAAGTTTGCCCTGACCAGTCATGTCTGACTTTAGGGGGTGGTATTCATCTCCATTTCCTTGCTGAAGAGCCAGTGTTATCTGAAGATGTTTTCGTGGTCATGTGGCTGCCATGACTATATGCCAAGGCACACGGAATACAAACCCAGCGGCTTAACTGCTAGGCCGCTGCGCCCCTATTTATTGAAGCAGTTGCCTCCAGAAATAGATTGGATCCAGTATATTTTTCTGACAAATGGAGGAGGCTGTGCTTTTTGTCCCTTCTCCCTTCTTTTTGCAGCCCCATATCTCATTTAAGAGTTTGCTTGCGAGAATGGGGAGAATGTATAAAATAGAGATGGGTACCAGTAGAGTAAGTGATGAATTTTGTAAATGTAGTTTCTCTGTGTTGGAAAACTGAAATGGGTGACTTCCCTGCATTGGCTTTTTCCTTTGAAATGCAAGTAGTATTTTGATTGAGATGTGGTTTCACTCAATCCTACATGTAAGTAACCTGTACAAGCACTTGCAGTTTTAATTTAGCATATTGGAGTCACTGTACATGTTGATGTAGCATTTGGTTGCTAAACTAGGATTTGACATTTTGCTAGTGGGAAGAAACAGCCAGTTTAGCTTTTTAAAAGAATCATCCGGTGACAGTTTGTCTTTTTTGTTGCAAACCAAAAATCCTCCTTGTAAAAAAAAAGAAATGGTCTGACAGAGCAGGTCTTTTCAAAGTGACGTTTGTAGGTTAGTCATAATAATTTGATATTCCCTGCACATAAAAAAGCAAAGTATAAAGAGATTGTTAACCCATAGCATGCAAGTATTTCAAAGAGTAGAGATTGCTGCCAGTGTCAAAATACCCATTTGACCTTCATTTTGTCCAACTTTAGGGGGTGCAGATAATGCTGTTGCCCTTTCCTTTCCCTCAAGAAACCTTTTGTGAAGTGGGGGATGGGCTGAGAGAGAGAGAGAGTGACTGGCCCAGGGGCCCTTTTGGCAGCACTCCCTCTGCCTGAGGGATAATGAGAACTCCTAAAAGTCTCCTGCTTTTTAGCCCAACCATCCTTTAATCATTCCACCAACCTGGCTCCAGGTACTGTAACTGTAAATAACACATAACATTTGTTTCTTTTGATAGGTTCAACTTTATGAAGATTTTGCCAAGTCCCGTGCCAAATGTGATGTCGACGAAACAGTTTCAGCAGCTTCACTCACTGAAGAGACTGAAAAACCAAAGCTTAAAGCTACAGGACACGTATTTCAGGTTGGAAATGCATCTGCTTATTTTGCTATCTAATTAGATGCAAAACCCTGATCTTCATCATCACCATCATTTAATGACCCCATAATCCCTTGCGAGGTGGAGTCTGGACAACCGAATGGAGCTAGCAGAGTGTTTTAATAGCCAGGTGCTCTTCCTGTCGCCAGAAACCCTGATCTTCAACTTGAGTGAAATTTCAGCCTCTCAGCACAGACACATTTTCCCTACATCGCGCCCCTGTGCAGAGAAACATCGCTTATCTAAGGACCAAATTTGCATCCTGGCTCTAGTAACGCAGATGGAGAGGCTTTGTAAGCTAGAAGTTCCTCAAATTGGATTAAACCATGTAAATTAAATTTAACCCTATTTAGCTTGCTAACTAAATCAGGTGAGGTTAGCTGATGGGTTTTAAACCTTTGGTGAGACAGGGAGCTGCTTATCCAGGCATGTGAGGACAGATTCTGCTATATTGACCAGATCAGTTCATTGAAAGGTCCAATGGTTATGAAGCACCATAGAATGTGAAGAGCAGGACAACGCACAGAAGACATCCTGGCATTTACTTGTCCTATCTCCAGTTGTCTTGACTGTGTCTTGTTACTGGACTCAGGTGGGAATTGGGAAGAGAGAATGAGGCTGACTCTGCACAACTCCCCCTCACTTCAATCCACGTTACATGTTAGTCTCAGCACCACTTATATATTGTACATATGCAATGATAATGTGAAGTGTTTCCTTTGGGTCCTCCTTGAGCCACCGATGCCATTAAGGGGGACTAACATTTAGGTCAGATACTGCAAGGTATTATGGAGACGAGGTCTCCCTTGAATGGTAATGAGTCTTCTAGATTCTTGGGAATAGTCTGGCCCCATAAGAGATGGAAGTAAAAGAGGTAGCTGAGTGTCCACCTTCTAAAATTCAGAAAAGGCAGTAACAGGTTTGAACTCATAAACCTTTGAAATTTGATCATAAATTATATGATCAATTATATGATCTAACTTCTCTATTTCACTACCAATGGGTACTGATTTTGCTGTTACTTCCATAGCATGGGATTTTAGAGCCTGTGAGCAGATTGATTTCAAAAAGGACAATTATCAAGATAAAAAGAGCTATTTCCATTAGGTTGTTTCCATTCTGAATGGCAGACTGAACCAACCTCATGAAAATAGCTTGAAATCCTCCACATTTAATGAAAAATGAACATTTTAAAACGAATGGCAAATTGAAGATTTAAAGATAAAAGATATTAATAAATATGAGCTTTCCTAGCACTTATGAAAGGAAAAAAGAAAAGCATCTTTTGACAGAATACTTTTTAAAAGACATATTTAAATAAGAGGGTTTTTTGCATGTGCGTGTAAGTGTAAAATTCCTTAGAAGTGCAGATTAATGCAGAAGCAGAAGCAGCCAAACAGGAATAAACCTGTTTGAAAAGAGGTCTTAGAAAAAAATTCTTACCAAATTGCTCAGGAACAAAATATCCAACAATTATTTTTGTTATCTATAAAAGCCATAAATTTATCTATATATAGTAGTTTGCATCCTTAGAAAAAGAATTATATGGGATTAAGAAACATTTTTTATAAAGTGGTAAAGCAGCTCACTGGAATTTCTTAAGATTCTGGGCCAGTTAAGAACAAGCTCAAATACAGGATGGAAAATAATGCCATGAGCAATAATTTACTACTTCTGTTAAAACACCCCTCTCATTTAAAACTTCAACAGCCTTTTTCTTTCTCAGTGTGAACGCTAGTTAGTGATTAAAATCAACTGTGACTGGCAATTGACAAACCACCTATCTCCTCTCATTTTTTTGCAAAGAGTTTCACATTTTAACAGCAGGATACTGTGTTCTGCCGTGTAAGAAGTAAATGTATCTTGAAAATCTTATGCTTATTTGATTTCTTGTTTTGTGGCTTGTTTCTTAAAAGGCATTGCAGTATTTAAGGAAATTGTGCAACCATCCAGCACTAGTTTTAACTGCTCATCACCCGGAGCATAAAAGGATCACAGAGAAGCTTGGAGCAGAAAATTCTTCTCTTCGTGACATCCAGCATGCACCTAAACTCTCTGCTTTAAAACAGGTGGACAAATCCTTGATTGTGTATTTGATCTATCAGACAAGAACGCTTCCAAATATATTCAAAGAGATACTTCTGCTAGCTTCTAGAACAGGGGGTGTCAAACTCATGTTGTCATGGCGTTGTCATGTGATGTATCACGATTTCTTTCCCTATTGCTAAACCGGGTGTGGGCGTAGCCAGCACGTGACACATCTGGCCCACAGGCTGCGAGTTTGACAGCCCTGTTCTAGAACCTTCACCGTGTACTAAATAATTGGTAGTTTAAAATTAATAACTAGAAATATTAGGAAGATAAAACCATGGAGGAGGCAATATGAAATATATAAAGTACATTTTTGTATGTGTACTAACAGAAAACTTTGTTGCTATCTTAAGTTTAAAGGTTTTTTTTAAAAAAAGTGAGTCAGGCTCCTTGTGCTACCAATGGAATAAGTGTCTCATTTCAGGTTTGCAATAACTTTGTACTAAATTTTCAGTTATTTAAAAATAGGTAGGTTTCAAGTATTGGTGTTTACCATATTTGAAGTGGTAATTTATTATCTGGTATAATTCTCAACTAGTATTTAGTATTTAAAAAATGCCAGAATTTGAGCCTGTTATATATGGTTCAGTGCAGCACTATTTCATAATTTGGTGTGGTAGAACAAAAATATGTGCCTTTTTATTTGTTCATTTAGTCCAGTATTATTATTCTCATTTAGTTTTAGGTTTCTTTTTATCCCGCCTTTATTATTTTTATAAATAACTTAAGGCGCTGAACATACTTAATAGTCTTCCTTCCTCCGATTTTTTTTTCTACATCTAACAACTCTGTGAGGTGGGTTGGGCTGAGAGGGATTGACTGGCCCAAGGTCACACAGCTGGTTTTCATTTAAAGTATGTCTTTGGAGCCTCATTGAAGCTAGGAATTTTTTTTCAAATCTCCCGGTCCTTAAATACCAAGAATGTCAAGGAAAAGAAACCCCCTGTCATTGAGTTACTATTCCACAATCACAAAGTAACTGCAAGTGGACTGTAATAGTTCAGGTCTTGGACTGAGGTCAAGTGGCCAAATCTGAGACTTTGAGACAGTCTCCCTGTAAGCCAAACCAACCTCAAAATGAGATAGAAATACAATAACCAGTATGTGAAAGTTTCTTGGATATTCTGGTAGAGAAAAGGCCTTGAGAAGCTGACTGATCGTTTGTTTGTTTGTTCTTTAAGCTATTACTCGATTGTGGTTTAGGAAATGGTGGCTCTCCAGAGAGCGGTACCGAAACGATAGTTGCCCAACATCGAATTCTTATCTTCTGTCAACTGAAGAGCATGCTGGACATAGTAGAACATGACCTTCTGAAGCCTCACTTGCCCTCTGTTACCTACCTGCGATTAGATGGCAGTATACCAGCTGGTCAGAGACACTCAATTGTCTCACGGTAAAGCCAACATTGTTTAGATCTACTCAAAAGTCCCTTTTTGGCTGAAATAGATGTGTGATTTTGCTGTTCACTGGGGTAGAAGATTAAAGTGTTCACCTTATCTGGGCCCCGTATATTATTTACCATTGTCCCATCAGCATATGTTCCCTATCTAATTGGGAAATCTTTCCTCCCTACTATCTAATGTAAAGGTATGTATAGATGGGACCATTCACGTGAAAGGTGGATAAGACAAGTCTATACTCCGTACGAAACTTAATCTCGGGGACATCCAGATCTGCGGTTTCTTTGACTCCATATTTGAGATGTAGAGGTATTTCTTTCCCAAGAGGGGGAAAAAATGCTGCTTTAGGAAGAAAGAGCAACACATTCTTCATTAAGAAAAAAACAAATCCCCACCTTGTCAGAAGGAAATCCTGCTGTGATCCTTCCCAGGGTGAAAAAACAGCCAGCAGTGATACCATTGAAGCCTGCCGCTTAGCTCTTTGTAGTAACCCCTCATCACAACCAAGACTTTCACAGTGCAATAGCTGTCTTTGAAAAATAAAAGCCCTTCCAATAGAGATAGACAAGTTGAGGCAGAAAAAAATGTCATGTGTTTTCCTGCTGAGAGAGCTCGGCTGAAATTTCATGAAGCTGACATTTAATTAAAAGTGAAAGATTGCCTTTAGCTGCCCAGATGACAGCGGCACAAGTCCTTGATGGCAACTTCCAAACAGCTGAACGTGTTTTATATCATTGCTACTAATCTAATGCTGGATTTGAGCATCACTGGGCGAAACTTCTTTTTGGAGAACTTTTCTATCCCTATTCTCAATTATCTTGGTTTTGTAAAATTAGTTTAGGGGAAAAAAAGTAATGTTGCTCAGCTTTGGTGGTGGTGTTCCCTTGGTCTTCTAAGGGCAGATATAGGCAACCCCTGAGCTATTGACTTAATGGAGTCCGTGTTGGTTCCCCATATAACCTGCAAACTTTTAATTCACTTATCACTTGTCAGAAAAAAAAAGTTTTGATCAGCTATCTGTCAGGGAGCAGAACTTGCATATGTTCCTTATCAAAGCTTCAAAAACCTTCAGTGGTGCCAGTGGATATTTTTTTAAAAACCTAATTGCTATATTTGGGGCCAGAGGTGATTGGCGGGGAAGGGAAAGGATAACTTTTCTTGACTCACCTGCCCAAAATTCTCTTATTCTTTATCTTCTGGATAGTGTTCATTTTCTAGCTATCTTCCATATATGAAAGTGTCTAATTCATTCTTCACCTATTTCAATAAATCACTGTTAATCTTTCATTTCACATGGGGAACTGTCATTAGAAACGATGCACTACAAAAGAACCAAGTGATTCAGTTCTAACTTTGGTATTTCTAGGATGGTACAATAACAGCAACCTGATAGAACATCAGTATTTTACATTAGATGGACTACAATTTAAGCAGTGTACCCACAACAGTAGGATGGAAGTAGAGAAATGACATCTTCATGCCATCTGCAATCATTGTTGGGTTTATTTTAATTGACAGGTTTAACAATGACCCATCCATAGATGTGCTGTTACTTACTACTCACGTTGGTGGGCTTGGTCTTAACTTGACCGGAGCTGATACCGTGGTATTTGTTGAACATGATTGGAATCCAATGAAAGACCTCCAGGCAATGGATCGGGCACATCGTATTGGACAGGTAAAAAAAAATCATTTACGATAAGTTGAATTAATCAAAAATCGCTTGACATTTCTGAAACCAATTGTGAATCACTTAAAACTTATGGTTTTGTTTTTTTCTTTTAATTTGTTACTAAAATACTATTTAATTTGATTTATAACATTATGTCATGAAATACTAGATCAAACCCGAAAGACTTTAGAGCAGGGGTGTCAAACTCAGGTTGTCACATGACGTATCGGGACTTCCCCCCCCTTCGCTAAACCAGTGGTGGGCGTGGCCAGCACATGACTCATCTGGCTCACAGACCACAAGTTAGACAGCCCTGCTTTAGAGCAAAGATAGGAACTATATTTTACAAAATGAAATGATGATTCTGAAAAACAATTTCATTTAAGAACGTTTTGTGTTCTTACTGCTGTTACATTCAAGACTTGTATAAATGTCACATGTGTTTCATTTATTTAATTGTTCTTTGTTCCTCTAATTGGATGTCTTGTTTTGCTGTGTAATGATTTTTTTTTTATAGCTGGCATATGTATACATTTCCATTAACTCCTCATAAATATTAACTATGTTGCAGAAACGTGTTGTTAACGTTTATCGCTTGATAACAAGGGGAACCTTGGAGGAAAAAATAATGGGTCTTCAAAAATTCAAAATGAATATTGCAAATACAGTAATTAGTCAAGAGAATACCAGTCTTCAGAGCATGGGAACAGATCAGCTTCTTGACCTCTTCACTCTGGATAAGGTAAGATATAGATTTGTGGGGTGGCTTGGGGCCCTGTATAATTTCTACATGAAACTCGGGGGAAGATCATCCATAAGGATGGGCTCCCATATCATCAATATGCAAATTATACCCAGATACACATCTTGGGCCCAGGCTAGCAAAGTGGTACGCCAAGGTCTAGTCTTAATGTCTGGAGGCTGTGTGGCTCTGGATAGGGAGTTAGATCCAATCCTCCAAGATGGTTGGTTGGTTGGTTTGATTGGTTGGTTGGTTGGAAGGTGGGGAGGGAAAGAGAGAGGGAGAGAGAGGGAGATCCCAAGATATTGGACAGAGTTGATACACTTGAAGCTCCATCAATTAAACCATACATCTGTTTGAAAGAAGGAAGTGTTCCTTGTCTGTTGTACTGCTTCCCTTCTTGAAGATCTGATTCCCATCCTGTTGATGTTCCAAATGTTGTTGAAAACCTGCATGTTCTCCTAAGGCAGGGGTCCTCAAACATAGCAACTTTAAGACTTCCTCAGCTATGAGGAATTCTGGGAGTAGAGGTCCACAAGTCTTAAAGTTGCCAAGTTTGGAGACCTCTGTCCTAGGTTTGAATTTTTGTAAGATAGTGTGTTCTGTCTGGACATTCACAGTCTCTTCTGTTCTTGATATTTCTACTCTTAAAGTATAAGCTGCCCAGAGTTGCCCTGAAGTTAAGCAAATTTTAAACCTAATCATTCTAATAAAATAAAGTTCATAGTAGATCTAAAAATGAGTAACAAATAATAACGAGAGATATTTTGCTTCTGATAACATTTACTTAATCATTTAAGTCATTCTCCATTGTAGTTTAAATGATTCCATTGAAATTTAAGGCATTCTCCATTGAAGAGTTGCTCATCACTAGGATATTATCACAAGGAAATTGTGAATGCTCTTTTATGTCTCATAATGTTCAAATTTTAAATTATTAGTTTGTTGTTTAAGTAATGATTTCCAGTATTTTCATATTATTGCCATAGAGAGATCATATGCACAGATTTTAACATGTGCTTCTTTTTTCCTCAACATTCTTCCACCAAATCTTTAAGGATGGAAAAACTGAAAAATCAGATGGTGCCACTTCTGTTTCTGGGAAAACAACTATGAAGTCAGTCCTTGAAAATCTTGGAGAACTTTGGGATCAAGAACAATATGATTCTGAATATAGCCTGGAAAAGTTTATGCACTCACTCAAATAACCATTCTTATGGTTTTTTTGGTTTTTTTCAGCTGATATTCAGCATATTTCAAAACATTTATAGTGGACTTCTAGCATCATATGAAAAAAGAGGAAGAATGATGTTCTGCATAAAGCCAACATATTCTGTTGGGTTAGTTGAGTCTTAAATACTTACATTGTTAAAATTCTAAATTGCTGTTTAGCTTTGAATTTCCAGAATAATTATACATTCTTATAGTTTTGCATATGTTGCTAAGTATTACACCTTCATTCAAAATAGGTTCACCATTTCCCTTTTCCTGAACCTTCCAAAATTTATGCCATTTGTTTTGAGTATTTTGTTACTTTAAACCTAGCATGTTTTAATGGTACACTGTAGGAATGTTCGGTTTAGCTATTCAGAATAATTTGTTCACTTCAGGTTGTACATTGACATAATAACAGCAAAGCATACCATTCTGGAAGACACTGAGGATTTAAATGAGTGTTGCAAATGCTACAATTCCCACCTTTATATATTTAAGTATGTGGTGCTCTTCAGTCTTCTGACATTTTGAGAGCAGTTGACTTTTTAATAAAATTACTGAAAATGGCTAATAGGCCATTTCTACATCCTGTTTAGAGGGTGCTATTTTTATGAGTGTTTGTGGGTGTATATAATGGCAAGAGCATAGTCAGCTCAGAGATCTAAAGTATGCAGTCGGTTTCGATGTTATATTTTTTTGTAAGAGAGAAAATATATAAATAGAGCTTTTCCAGTAGTAGTTCTTACAAAATTAAGAATCCATGCTGGAAAAATACCCAAATGCACTAGTGCATGATCCTCTTAAATAAAAAGGGTAATGTTTTATTTAGGGATATAGCTTAAAAAAAACACCCCTTAGAAATACTTACCCTGCATCTCAGAGAATAAAATGTTGAACTAAAATCATGTAATACAAATTTAAAGATGCTATAATAAAGAGGAGTAAAAATAACAGTTGTACATTTTTTAAAAAAAATGTATTCTTAAAGGGAGTCAGTAGTGGCATGTCTATGTATAGATGTCCGTACCAAATGCATACGCCATTTTCTAAATATTTTAAGACAAACTTACATAAACTCTTTAATAAATAAGTATATGTTTAGATGTCATATCTAAGGTTTGAGCATGTGTGCACTTCAGCATCAGAGCTTGAACAGCCGTGAGGCCTCTGAAATGTTTAATTGTTTTTAAACATTTCAAGAGGAAAAGCAACCTGTTGGCTTATGGAGCAATATTGTTTTTTTCAGCACTCAGATATGAATGATGAACCTGTGTCATATTTCAGCAGATATACAAACTGCCATACTGTAACATGAAACTAGCATTCCTTGGGGAAAAAAACAAAATAAAAAGCCAAATTGGCATTAATTGATCTTTTATATGTTTTGTGACATTTTTCTTCCTGCATCCTGGTTTATAAGTGTTATAAGTCCGTGGAAGGAGAAAAACACATTGATTGATAAAATAGCCTGTGTTTGTTTCCGTAGTAAGGAACACTTTTACAGCTTGAGCAATCCAATTTTTCTACTCCATGTTCTTTAAGGATCAAAATGGGTTTAAATTTAGGTGCCAGTAGTACTAGCGGTAGATTTTAATGTATTATGCTTTTAATATTTAAATGCTTACAAAATGCTAAAATATTTAAATTTAGTAGCTGGAACAGTGGGGTTGTGCAGTAAGCCAGAACACAGTTATAGCTGATTGGTTGAAGAGTGCTGGCTCCTGCGTGAGGCAGTCTGCGCTGTGATTGGTTGCTGTGGGTGTGGAAGGGGAGTTTTCCTTTTTTGCACCTGGTGTTCCTGCTGTGTTGATTTACCTGATGATGCTTGCCTGACTATTATAATGGTATATTATAATACTTTGCTTACAGAAAAATTACATTACAGGAAATGCATGACAAGTTTTGTTTGACTTTGTATCCAGGGTTCTGTTAATCATGATTTTATCACTTGTTGTTGGAGGAACTGATCTTCCATGGTGGGCTAGAAAGAGGAGGGCTTCCATTTTGCATTGCCATCCTTGGTGAGAGCTGGCAAGTTACAACACAAACCTCCACCTGACTCTTTCTATATATATATCCTATCGTTATTTGAAGTTGGTCACCCTCTGCAATATGTGGGTAGTAATTTTCTAGTTCTTAACCAGACTGGCTGAAAGCTGTAGCCTCTTGTGCATGAATAACCAGTTCTGTTACTGGTAAGTTGCACATCATTAATATTCAAAATGGAACATCTGTTTCCCAATAAAAGGAGATATTGTTACGTTGCACTGTTCAATTGACAGAAATGTATAATTCTAAACCATACACAGTTAGCCATTTGCAGTTATTCCCAATTAATGACTCTTTTTGGTTGCTTTCTCAGTTGGGAAATCTTTTTTTTTCTCTGTGCCTCTACCTCTTTATCCCAAATTATCATCTGATAGATGATACAAATACCGATAGTTTCACCTCACAGGACACAATACTGTATACTTTAACTTTGAAATGGCATGAGATTTTGAACCTGGTGGGTTTTATCTCCAGCGCCCATGCTATTGTAGCTTTACATCAGTATAGGAAGCCTAATGGTCTCGTGGCCCTTTGAATTACAATTGAATTCCTTACCAGTGGACTTCTGGCTTCCAACAATAGTAGAAGGGGAAGTTGCATGCTATTATTATGTACATCAGTCATACAGAAAAATGAGGCTTGTTGATTGTTGAAGATATCATGAGTAACTTCTCTGCTTATTTACTTAACTATGTGAAGATTGTGTAGAATCCAGCAATCCAGCCCACTATCAAATTGTCAGGAAACTGAAGCATTTATCCTTTAAAGGGAGGTTGCACTGTTCAGATCCTTTTAGCAAGGTATATAAAGTCATCCCATCAATATTTTCCTAATTTGTTTTATACACTGTTTTCTTACTCAATGAAGTATTCAGTGGCTAAAAGTTTAAAAACCCCAGATAGAAATATAGAAAAATTAATATTGCTAATTAAAATTTTGATGAAAGAAGTATCTTTACAAATTTCAACACGCAGAGGGAACGGGAACACATTCGACAACTCTGGAGCAATACAGAACATGAATTCCCCCCTATATCATATATAAACAACCTTCTGATGGAGGCGGGCATCTTCAGAAGACAAGCATAAGTTATTGGAATCTTGTATCACCAAGGTGTCTATCGCTTTGATAAACTCTGACTAACTGTGGAAGAATTGTAATTGCTATACAAGACAAGTACAAATTTGCCTTTTCTATATTCAGCTGAAGATCAAGGAGGACCTTTCATATTCTTCTGTCTGATCTTCCAGGAAGTGTACATCTCTGTCCAAAACATCTCCATCAGTTTTCCATAAATAATTTCCATTTTGTCTGAATTTAATTTCAATTTTCTCCCCTTACCAAAGTTAGCAATGTTCCATAGTGTTAGTTACTACATTAAAATTAGATCTAAAGAGCCCTAGAGCTGGATGTTATCAGTATATTGATGAAACTTTATTCCAAAAATTCAGATGATCTCCCTAGCAGTTCCGAGCAGATACCATAAAGCAGTGATGGTGAAACTTTTCGGCACTGAGTGCCCAAACCGGAATGCGTGTGTGCAAGCACGCACACCGTAGTGCCGGAAATGGAAGACCAGCTGGCTGATATGCATGCTTCCAGACTGTACTACCTAAAGCTGCAAATTTGCTTGTGGACTGTACTACCCAAATACTAGCTGTTGTGCATGCGCACAGGCCAGCTGATCTTTTGTGATTCCAGCGTGTGCGAAGACCAGCTGGCCAGCGCGCATGCACGCACCGGAAACCAGAATAGTAGCTGGTGGTGGCACGCATGCCCACAAGAGAGGGCTCTGTGTGCCACCTGCGGGGCCATAGGTTCACCATCACGGGCATAAGGTAACAAAAAGGACCATGGTGGAGCAGTACATATAAATTGACGCGACATAGAGCAATCAACCCTTTGGAGAAGACAACTTCCAAAGCCTAATACTCATAGTCTAGGCTCATGTTCAGAGGGGAATTCTGAGAATTGGTCCACATGCAGTATTTTAAAGTTGCTAAGATTGAGGAACAATTGGTCTAGAACAGGGGTGTCAAACTTGCGGCGTCTCATCACATGACGTATCACGACTTTCCTTCGCGAAAATGGGGGTGGGCATGGCCAATGCATGACACATCTGGCCCATGGGCCACAAGTTTGCACCCCTGGTCTAGAAGGATATGCTCAATAGGCATCCAAACTGCTGAGTGATCTAGGAAAAAATAGCAAAGTCACTTTTTCTGCCTCAAGTTTCTAATAGGAATTTTGATAACTACATATACTATGGTTAGGTGACAACTGAGAGCCAGTTTGGTATAGTGGTGAAGTGCATCTGGCAGCAAACCAGGAGAGAGTGAGTTCTAGTTCAGCCTTAAGACACAAAGCCACCAGTCACTTTCTCTCAGCCTTAAGAGACAACCGCAAATTAATTCTAAAAATCCTTGCAAAGAAAACTGCAGTGATTTGTCTAGGCGCTCTCCAGGAATTGGTCACAACTGAACTAAAGAAAAGGCAGCAATTAAAGCAGCTGGATTAAACTGATAACATGAAGATGCATCCAAAGTTGCAAGGCTATTACCATTTTAATCATGTTTCCCAGAAAGTGAATGCAATAGTCGAGATTGGATTGCAATCCACAGCGTCCACAAGAATTTGAAATTGTGAAAACACTGGTTTGCAAGCTCTACCCCTTCCATATACATGGCTGCTTATAATTACCGGTAAATTATTCTCTCTGAAGACAGTTTCTTCAGTTGAAGTGCAATCATTGCTGCTTTGGGCAGAAGAGAAATATTTCCAATTACACAAAGTTAGATCAGACACTGATCGCTTCCTATAATTATGAGGCCAGGAGAGGACAGGTTTGTGTAAAAGTTTGATAGCTCTTGGATACAAGGGTTGCCACCCTATTAATGCTTGGCTCCATCCCTAAGATTTATAAATCAAAAACAACCCAACATAAAGGCAGAATTGTTGTTAATGTTGATGCCTTTAACCTACCCTTAATGATGATACCTAATTTGAGGCAGATCCAACTGACTGCATGGAAAGATGCAAACTGTTTCGTCACAACAACACTGTTCTGTCTCTCATCTGCCTATCCATCCAATGTCTTGATGAGGAAAATGTTTCTCAAGCAGAAAATTTATGGTTTTTTTTTTTGACAACTAGGAAAGAAGACACACCAAAGAAGGTGGCAACTTCAGGAAAAGATAACAAAAGTGGCATTGCTCGGTTTTGGTGCCAAAGCATTCTCATCTTGCAAGGCTTCATTTACATCCATTTGTTTGTTGGGTGACATAGTCAACATTCATTTAACGGCCTAGGTTTCCAAGAAAGAACTGGAGAGAAGAAGGGATTGGACAAGCCAGTCTCTCCATCCAAGTGTGACAGCACCAGCACCTCTCCCACCCACCCTTATTGCAACAGGGAAAGCTCATCAGCTGCCTTCTTGGTCAAGGGGAAAGGGTCAAGTCCAAGATTTTTATGGACACTTCTTGGAGATAGGGGCTGGAGGCTATGGATGCGCAAACAATGACCTTTAAACCAATGTATTGGCAGAATTGTGAGTAAAGATATTGGCTTGGTTTAGTGTAGTGTTTCTCAACCTTGGTAACTTGAAAATGTGTGGATTCAATTCCCAAATTCCCTAGCTAGGGAATTCTGGGAGTTGAAATCCACACATTTAAAATTCCTGCGGTTGAGAAACACTGACTTTGATTCTGAAATTCAAAGCTCATCCTTTGATTAGCTTGGAAGAAAGCTATTCCTGTCTAGAACAAACCAACACGCTGCAATCAGCAAGCAAATTGATGATTTCTTAGCCTCTGCTGTCATATTAACTTAGCATTCCCTTAAAAAGTAATCCAAGTTCAACTTTGTTGGAGTTCTTCAGCTGAACTGTTGTACATTTAGTTACTGTAAAAAAAGTTTTATCTGCAACATACTGTAGAGCAGGGGTGTCAAACTCAAGGCCCAGGGGCCAGACCTGGCTCATGGGCTACTTAGATTTGGCCCGCGGAGCTGCCCTGGAAACAGCAAAGGACCGGCCCGCAGTGCCTCTGCCAGTGAAAATGGAGCTTGGGAAGGCCACGTGCAGCCCTCCCTAGAGGGTTGCAAGAGGCTGTCAAGCCAAAACTGAGCTCGGGAGCCCATTTTTGTGGCACAGCACTTGGGCCGCCACAGGCGCCCCTGACACAAGTGGCGTCGAGCTGGTGACGCCCATCCCAGCCACGCCCACCCCAGCCCCTCCAAGGTCAAACACAACTCTGATCTGGCCCTCAATGAAATAAAGTTTGATGCCCCTGCTGTAGAATTTAATTGCAAAAGTACCCAAAGCAT